TTTTTTTTTTTTTTTTTTTTTTTTTTTTTTAAGCAAATGAAGAATCAGGGGTCTGGGTGAAGCTAGCGGCTTAAGTTAGGTCGTGACACACAAGCCTAATCGGGTCCAGTTTCTTTCCACAACTGAATGCTATCACTTGGCCTCAGGTCTCTTGAGTATAAGGAAAACCGTTCCTTACATCGAACAAAGGTTTGTTTTTTGACTGAAGGGCTTATGGGAAATAAGAATTAAGAACAAGGTATTTGAAATCTAGTCTTACTTACGCTCTCAGAATTGACTTTGGGCTGGTTTCACGATAAGAAGCCGGCAGGTGCAACTGCCTTAGAAAAAGGCACTGCTGAACAAGTCTTTTCTTGGGGTAAACTCCAGGGAGATTTTGGTGAGGTTTGGAGATTGTATTGACACTCCTCTATTCTGTCTAAACAGTCTTCATGTAAAGACACGCCCACTTTTCACATGCACCTGTTTCTAAAATTTAATGTGAAGTCAGATTTCTCAGGCTTCATGGCACAACAGAATATTCCTTATCATTTTTTTGTGTGTGATTCATTTTCATGTATGTAGTGTCTTCAAGTAGAGCTGAGCATAGTTCAGCCCTCTCAGTGTTCACCTGATGATAGATCTGCAAGTAATTAGCAGATTGTGCCAAATGTTTTTTTTGGTAGGGGGGTACTGGGGATCGAATTTGGGCCTTTGCGCACCACTGAGCTAAATCCCCGGCCCTGTGCTAAATTTTTAGATGTCTAGGGTGTCTAATTTTTCTTTATGGTATCAATTTTTTTTTTCCATACCGGGGATCAGACTCAGGACCTTGCACTTGCAAGGCAAGCGTGGTGCCACTGAGCTAAATCCCGGGCCCTTTCTGGTATCAATTTTGATGGCCATAACAATCACATTATCTCCTCTTCTGATTGTTTTTCTTGCTGTGAATTTTTCAAAGGAGTTTTGGTCATGTTGCTTATGATGGGTCAGGGGTCCACAGAAGGAGCTGCCTCTGGGAGAGCCAGGCTTCATGTGGTCTGGTCCTAAGTGGGCTCTGGAGCTCACAGCTACCACTCTGACCTGCAGATGTCCTTCGGTCTTCTCCGTGTGTTCTCCATTGTGATCCCCTTTCTCTATGTTGGGACGCTCATTAGCAAGAATTTTGCTGCTCTACTTGAGGAGCATGACATTTTTGTTCCAGAGGATGATGATGATGACGACTAACAGGTAAGACTTGCTTTTCCCTCGTGGACAGGAGCAGGAAGTGGGGTGGGGCATCTAATCTATGATCCACTCTGACCTGGTAGCAGCACATGGACACACGGGGCAGGCGCTTCAGTGATGAATTGACCCACTTGGTGACTAATGCTTTTATTTTGCCTTTTACATATGTTGGGTGAGGGTAACTTAACTGACTTAGAAATTCATGGGTATCTCTTCCAGCTGGGCCAAGATCCTAGCCAGACTCTTAGTTGCCCCTGAAATACTACTCACAGTCAGCTCGTGTTTTCTTGAGAATTAAAATGCCGAGCACACCCACCATACCAGTGCCATCTCAGCAGGTCCATACTGAAGTGCAGAAGCTGGCAAGTCCTCACCACCGTCAGCTGCACTCACCGAGCACCGCCCCAGCACAGCCTGTACATGGGCATCGGTTATGGTACACTGCTCACACTCCCCGAGAGGCCTTCCCCCACTCAGTTTTCTGTGTTGATTTCCTGTGCTCTAACCTGTGCTGTATGGCAGTGTGGCTGTCACAGATAAGGACACCTGACTCCTTAGTGTGGCATTTAGGTTTGCCATGATTTAGTCATACATCTTAACCCATCTCAGCTTCCACTTTCCCAACCGTGGAAGGAAATGCCCGAGAGAGTGCTGCCAGCGTTCTTTTATTTTAAATAGTGTTGGGGATTGAACCTTGGGTCTGCTAGACAAGTTCCTTCCCACTAAGCCGCATCCCCTGCCCTCTTTGTATTTTAGAGACAGGGTCTTGTTAAGTTGCCCAGGCTGGCTTCAAACTTGCCATCCTGCTGCCTCCGCCTCCGAGTAGCTAGCTGGGATTATGGGTGTAGCATCTGCTGTGATTCCTTGAATTACCACCCCGAGCACTGACTCATGGTCCTTCCCACTGCCCTTTGTCATTTCTTGCAACCTCCAGTGTCCTTGATGAAGTCTCCCTTTGTCCCTCCATTTGAAATGAGTGCTGCTTCCTCTGAATGACCTTTCTTACAACCCTCCATGTAATGTGCCTAAACACACACATGCCCCCACAATTTGGACCGTGAGCTTCTTGCTGGCAGAGAATGTTTTTTATACCTCTGGGGTCCTGATGCCAGGCCTGTGAATGTCCAGTGCCTGTATGAATAATCAGAGGTACTCAAAATTGCTTTTCTCCTGCCATGTTTAGTAAAAGCACTCCATGGAACTCTTGCAGTGTGTACGTGGAGTACTGTTGCCTTCCTTTCTTACAGGACTAGGAGGAATAGAGAGAGGAGAAAGCAGCAGCTGTGGAAATGGCGATGCTCTTGGCCACTCCTTCCCTTTCAGCTGAAGGGCTCTGGAAAGCCCTCAGCCTGCCTCCTGCATAGCCTGTGACTGCAGCCCAGATCCCCGGGCTCTGGAAGGTTCCCTAAGATGTCCAATGAGTGCTGGGGGGAAAAAAGTCAAATTATGAATAAAATAATAAACATCAGCCATGACTGAAAGCTGGCTGGAGTTTCTCAATCCAAGCAGGCTCTGTTGTTGTAATTCTTCTCTCTCAGAGGGACACAAAGGCTGTGGATTTATACCTCAGGATGTTTAGGCCAGGTAGATACATAGAGATAATTAAGGGGAGCTATGTTTGTTTATTCCTTCCTTTCCCCCTTCACAAAAGCGTAACAGTTTTCCCTCAAAGCTGCACAGGCTAAAGCTTCTAGCCTTTTTTGTTTCTGTTTTTTTGAGGCAGGGTTTTGCTATGGCCTTGAACTCATGGAGATCTTGCTGCTTCATCTTCATGAGTGCTGGGATTATAGGTGTGCACCACCACACCTAGCTCTCTAGCTGTGTGTGTTCATTAGTATGGATTAGTTATCATGTGCCAATCCTGAGGAGCAGCAACTGTTTATAATACTAAAATCTTATTAGAATGGTCTTTCAAAACTTGGGTTCCTTAGGTGAAAAGACAGTAAGGGGATCCTTGGTGCTGAAAAATGTGGGACTCCTCATGTGGTTATAGATACTGAGCCCCTTTCTCCACTGTATGCTTTGACCTGGGAAGGAACAGAGAAGACCCCACCACCCGAAGCAAGCAGAAATCATTCTTTAATCTGGCTGAAGTCAGATCTTCAGGTATAGCAGTTTGCAAAAATAGATTATTTCTGTTTTTGTATATGCACTGACTGAACAGCTGTGCCCCTAGTAACCTAATGAGCAGGACTGGACCTAGGACCTCAAAGGTGCTACACAAGCACTCTGTCATGAGCTCCATCCCCAGCCCTTTTTAATTTTTAAAAATTAGTGCATGTTTGCAGTACATAATTATATTCCTTCTTGGGAACTGATACATGTATGAATAAATGTATACATAATTTTTAATTTTTTCATCTCCTTTCCCTCCTTCGGGCCCTTTTTCTTTTGTAAGATTTATCTCTATATTTCCTTTTATTTTCCCAGTCCTTTAAGTTTTTTTTTTTTTTTTTGGTTTTTTTTTTTTTTTTTGGTTTTTTTTTTTTTTTTTGGTTTTTTTTTTTTTTTTTGGTTTTTTTTTTTTTTTTTGGTTTTTTTTTTTTTTTTTGGTTTTTTTTTTTTTTTTTGGTTTTTTTTTTTTTTTTTGGTTTTTTTTTTTTTTTTTGGTTTTTTTTTTTTTTTTTGGTTTTTTTTTTTTTTTTTGGTTTTTTTTTTTTTTTTTGGTTTTTTTTTTTTTTTTTGGTTTTTTTTGAGACAGGGTCTTACTATGTAGTTGAGACTGACCTGGAACTCACTATGTAGCCCAGGCTGGTCTCCAACTCAAAGTGATCCTCCTGCCTCAGCCTCCCGAGTGCTGGGATTACAGGCGTGAGCCACCACGCCAAGCCCCTTTTAAGTATTTTTTAAGGATGGTCTTTTTTTGGTATCGGGGCTCAAATTTGGGACCTTGTGCTTACAAGGCAGGTGGAGGCACCACTGAGCTAAATCTCCAGCAAGAAACCTTTGAGAGAAGGTGTTGCTGAGTTGCCCAGGCTGGCCTCAAACATGACCTTTACCTCCCAGCAGCTGGGATTAGAGGTGTGCACCACTGTACTCATCAGGGAATTAATTTCATGTTAGAAACTAGTGCTTGTTGCAAGGAGCAAGACTAGGCCTGTGAATATGCATTTTCTTCAGAACCCCTGGGTCCTGTACTTCTGTGTCTGTTAATACTGCTCTCTTCCCTCTCTGACTAATTTTGGATAACCTGTGGCGTGACACGGAGGCTGTAGAAACACAATGAAATCAACCAGCCTCATATCCTGTGTGACAGTTTCTGAACAGATGGACTCATCTTTCCTACTTACTGACATGCAAGGCTCTGAGAAAACAGGATTTACAGCAATCACTACCCTTCGGGAAGAGGGAATGAACAGGTAGTATGCAGACCAAGACCCCAGTTGTTCAGGCAAAAGTGAGAAACCACAGAAAACTGGTTTACCAATGGAATTCTGTCACGAAGTGATCATATCACTGATTTATTTGTGCTCCAAAATAATTAAATAACATGCACCTTCCCACTGAGCAGAGTGGCTTTATGGGTCATGGCCAGCATAGAACTTGGACAGGAAATCCTTTGGCCTTGGTGCTTCTGTTTCATGGAAGAACCGCATTACATGTGTCCGTTGCTTCCACACTTTAATTGTTTCCTCCAGTTCCATCTTTCCCTAAACAAATGAGGGGAGAGGTGGTCAGTCAAAGTGGTCACCCTGAAATCAACACTGAAGCCCAGAATTCCATCCTTTCCTTGACACTGACCTGTTGAATGACTTTGGGCAAGTAATGACCCTGTCTAGGCAACTTTGGGCATCTGGAAAATGAGTGGGTTACTCTTTAATGCTGTGGTTAACTGATGCCAACAAGAGCCTTCAAGGTTAACAGGCTACATGTAAATGCATAACTATACTGGCTTAAGTTTCTGCATAACATTTCTTTTGTGTTATTTACTAGTCCACACTGAAATGACCATTGGTGCTAATGTGACAGACCGCGGACAGGAAATCAGGCCCATGATTTGCCTCAGTGACACAGGACTCAGCTGACTCACCTGCCTCTCCATCTGTAAGTTGGCATCCATAAAGCAGTAACTTCCAAGGCTGGTGTTCAAGAAGAACTCCAGCTTTCCTCTTCATAGTGTTTTTTAGTTCTACAATTAAAGTCCCAGTGGGTTTTCTCAATAATTTTTTTTTCTCCACATTGAGCTCTATCCTCAGCCCTTTTTGAATCATGTTCTTACTAAGTGGCTAAGGCTAGGTTTGAATTTGTGATCCTCTAGCCTCAGCCTCCCAGAGTGCTAGGATTACAAACATGTGCCACCATGCTTGGCTTCTCTTTCAACAAGCTTATATCTTTAACTCCAAGTTTACTTGTCTGAAACAGCAACAGTTGCCAAACCAGTATCTGCTTTTTAAACTTGGGCAGAAAATGCCCATCTGGGAAGACTAAGAAGCACAGGACAAGCTGGCTGATCTTTTAAGTCAGTCAGGGAGGGTCAGTTACCTTGATCACCAGAAGATCAATCACCCTGGGGTCTGTGACGTGGGCATTCTTCATAAACATTTCTCGGACTTTATCCCGTCCCTGTTTGACAGGGATGTCTAGCTGGAATAAGGTCACTAAAGAGAAAAAAATGATCAGGGTAGAAATTATAAAATGTGTTTTTGAAAACTTAAGTCGACAGATGCTCACTGAGCATGTAATATAAAACGGGCTGTTCATTCCTGCTCCAGATGTCAGCCTCACCCTGGGCTTGGTGCTGAGGGTGTGAAGAAGTGTGATGATGCCTGGCTCACTGAGCTGACTTGAGGCAGGGAAGATAAGACCGCTGCATTTGAAGAAGCAGAAAAGCAGGCTGGGGATTAAGCCCAGGACCTTGCATGTGCCAGTCAAGTGCCTTGCCACTGGGCCACATCCCAGTGTTAACATTTTTATATGGAGCAATCAGCAAAACAGCAGGGTTGAAATTTTATGTAAAATAATGTGGCACAGGCTGTAAGTACTACATGAATTTGGGAGTTGAGGGATATTGCTAAGGGTCGTGCAGGTACAGGTTTCAGTTCATAAGTCAGGGGAGGGGAAAGACATGTAAAACGTAGTTCTAGCTTTCTGGGCCTTTTTTTTTTTTTTTGAGACAGGGTCTCACTATGTACTTGAAACTGATCTGGAACTCACTATGTAGCCCAGGCTGGTCTCGAACTCAGAGTAATCCTCCTGCCTCAGCCTCCCCAGTGCTGGGATTACAGGTGTGCGCCACCACGCCTGGCTTCTAGATCTTAAATTCTGATTGGAAGGACAGCGATATATGATTGCAAACACACAATAAATATTTGCAATCCCATATGAAGTTATCACAGATCTAATACATGGCACAGACTCAGTGACATTGAACTTCATATGACGAGAGGCATATGGACATCCTCTGAAAACTAGGTGGTTTTTTTCCCCATTAAGTTTATTGGTACTTTTTAGGTATCCAGTACAGTTACATTTATCATTGGGATCTTGTACCTTTACCTGAGTATCTTGGCTCTTATTTTTTCCCCATACCCCTGCCTTCCCTTCACCCTCTCCACCCTTCCCTATTTACAAAGACTTTGTTTCCATTTTTTCCTTTTCTTGTATTTTTTTTTTCCTTTCCTCTACTCCTTAAGCCCTTTTCTTCCTATTTTCACATTATCAATTATACAATTTGAACCTTACTTACACTTTTAGTTTTTCACACCAGAGAAACTATTCGGTATTTACACATTTCCTATTTCCCTTAAGAGTATGGCCTCAATATGCATCCATTTAGCTATAAATGTCTCTAGTTTCTCATTCTTTTTGGCTGGGTAGTACTCCCATTTTATAGAAAAAACACATCTTCTTATCCAGTTTCTAGCTGATGGACAATTGGGCTGTTTCCAAGTTTTAGCTATTTATAAACTGTGCCACTATAAACAGGGGTGGGCATATATCACTGTGATATGATTCTTTTAATTCTTTTGGAAAGATACCAGCAGACGGACATCTGGGTCAAATGCGACCTCTAATCCTAGTTTTTTGAGGCATCTCCATATTGATTTCTACAGTGGCTGCACCAGTCTGCACTCCCTCCAACTATGGAAATGAAAGATACCAGCAGACGGACATCTGGGTCAAATGCGACCTCTAATCCTAGTTTTTTGAGGCATCTCCATATTGATTTCTACAGTGGCTGCACCAGTCTGCACTCCCTCCAACAATGGAGAAAGGTTCCTTTCTCCCCACAACCCTGCCAACATTTGTTATTGGTTAATTTGATAGCAGCCATTCTTTCTGGGGTGAGATGGAATCTCAGTGTTGTGAAAACTAGGTTTTAATCACTTGTATTCCCAGGCACTCAGCCTTCAACAGACTTGATGACAAGGACATGGAAAGGCCCTGGGAACCAGGTGGACTGGGGTGAGAGGCACACTAGGCCAAAGGAACAGCACAGCAAGGCATACAGGCTCGAATGAGCACTGTGGTGAAGGAGACAAATGTGCTCCTTGCTGAGGACACTTTGTGTTGTGACCATTCCAGGGACATGTCCACTGTGGTCTATGGAAGCATTACAGCCATCTCCAAAAACTATGACAACCATTTAGTGACTGAATGAATCAACTATAAACTTTGAATCTTTCATTATACCCATGACATGTCAGAAATGAAAAAATGAAGCTTCTATTAGGGAAAACCATGCCGTGTTGCAAAGAAAGTAAGTTTTCTGCTCCAACCAAGGAAGAAGTAATAGAAAGCTAAAAGTAGAACTGGCTCAACAGGAAAACATTAGGGACACAGAACCACTTAACACTGAAAACACCAGTGTCCGGCATTGTGCAGAACAGGCTCACATGGACAGTTAATTACATATACCTCTTCCAAATCTGCCTTCTTGGCCTTTACTTTGCTACTTATCATCAACTATGGTGAATATATTTATTATGGGAATTGACAGACACTATAAATTTAGTTTTTTGGTTTTTTTTTTCCCCCAGAGAGCAGTCACCAAGGTCATTATTAGGGACTGTAGAAAAGGAGCAATGAGAACGTGGAATTTATAATCGTACCCTTTGGGAAGATTTAGGCCTAGAGCACTTCGGGCAATTGCTCAAAATCACAACTGGCTCCTGGGAGGTGGGGCCCTAGAATCCAAGATTTTTTTCATTTACAATTTGGTGCTCATTTAGGGAAAGAAATACAAGGAATCTTCCCCTCCTACCAATGCTTGCTGTTCCTGCATTTTTATATCAGATTCCTGCCCAACCCTAGGAGCAAAAACACAAGGTTCTTCCAACCATAGCTTTGGGAACTAGTACCCATCTGCTCCCAGTCCTCACAGTCTCCTCTGCCTCACACCAGAACCCTGGATACATCAATCTCCTCTTAAGCCAAACGTTTACATGTGTGACATGGCTCAGTGGTAGAGGGCTTGTCTAGCATGCACAAGACCCTGGGTTCCACCCTTAGAGCAGGTGGGGTGGAAATTCAGCACAGTTGCAGAGTTCTGCCTGTTTTTCAGTAGGTAACAAATGCCAAGTGTCCAACTTCACAGGTTAACATGGCTTGTCTCTACTGAGATTCTATAGCTCTGTCCCAGGCCAATGCTGCCATTCCAACCCCTTGAAGAACTCTGCATCAGTGAGAGGCTGTGGCAAGGTAAATGGAAACAGCTTGGCTACAGCCTGCTGATTTCTTCTTTGGTTTAAATCAGTGCTTTTCAAACTAGTGACAATTTTGTCCTCCAGAATATTTGGTAATGCCTGGAGGCATTTTTGGTTGTCATAGCCAAAGGGAGAAGGGTAGTGGCATCTAACAGGTGGATGTCAAGGATGTTAAATGTCCTGCAACACCAAGAACAACCCTGCACAACAAAGAATTATGTAGCTCTAGTGCAGCTGTTAGAAGTCCCAGTATAAATCAGTGCCAGTTATTCTTTCTCAGTTCAAGAATGATTTCCTGGCTTATTTTCTGAACCCTGAGTGTATTTAGATTTCAATTTGAGAGACTCAGAAAGAAGATGCCCCTTTTGGATGGGAAAGTGAGTTTTCCAGTCTCTGTTTTCCCAAAGTTATTAACTCTCCTGAGCCAGGAACGTGCTCACAGACTAGGAAGGACAGTACTATACAGTTCTCGGTCTTTGCTCTATCCATGGTAGCATTCATAGGGTGTGATCCTCAGATGGAGGCAGCATGGGATGAAGAAAACAGCTATACTTTAGGTCTTATTATCTAGTTATATGCCCAACTCCCTCCTTTGTCCATAAGACCCTTGAAGGCAGGGCTGTGTTTTACTCATTTTTATATTGCTGTAGGCATCTGGTACTGGCTCTACTGTACAAGAAGTACCAGATGAATGGGAATTAAGTTAAGTGAAACTTAAAACAGAAAGCCTCCTGTTACCTTTGGCCAGCAAGCAGCTTGTAGTGTTTTTCAAACTAGGTCCCCAAGCTTCAAAGAAACTACAGTAGGAATTAAGAGCCTGGTGTCCCCCCATCCCCGCACCATGCTGGGGATTGAACCCAGGGCCAATGCATGCTAAACTAAACTAAACGAACTACACCCATCTCCAACCCCAAGAGCCAGGTGTTAGACTGAACAGTCAGGGCTATAAGGCTGGCTCTTCTACTATTAATGGTGTGACTCATGACAAGTTTAGATGTCTCATTTTTGTCTCCGCTGTAAGGCAGGAAAACTGCCCATCTTAAAATAAGGCACTATACAACATTTGGCATAGTGCTGGATCATATGTAAGCATTTCGGCGAATGTTAGTTATTACCAATACAGTAACTTATTCCTCATCCTTGTTTTGGTTCTTCAGCTGGAGTGCCAGTGATGGAGAGCACGACACACTGTGGCACAGGTCTCAGTGAGTGACCCACCGGGGATCACTGGTCTTTCTCTTAAGCTTGATCTTCACCCCTTTGACTTCTCCCCCTGCTCTCTAGGCTTCTGTAACCCTTTATCTTCTTATCCACCCCCAGGACCCTTTTGACTCTGGAATTATCTTCCCAAACAGCAGGTCCTGGGAGGAGATGCTTTAAAGAGTTCTACAAAGTCATGATATCTGGATCTGTCTTGAACTCAGCCACAATTTCATTTCTCTTCCTCCCTCATGAAAAAAAAGACAAGGTTTCAGAAACTCTTGGGAGTATTCTGCTAAGCAAACATTGTTTTTAAACACCTGGTTTTGAATGCATCCCCCCCACATACAAACACTTTTGTTTTTCTTCCCACATGGGTCTGTGTAGTTCAGGCTGGTCTTGAATTCATTATGTAGCCCAGGATGGCCCGGAACTTGCAGCATTCTCCTGCCCCAGCCTTCCCAAGGGTAGGGATTACAGTTACACAGCTCCACGTCCAGCTAAACACTTGCTATTGTCACTTCCACTCCTATTTGCCTGTCCCTGAAGGCATTTGAATTTGCAGCCCCTACACAAACAGGACACTTCTTAGTTCCTCTCTCTCCAGCATCAGGTGGGTTTACATTCTTTCAGGTCATTAGCCTTCTCTTCAAAAGTCAGCTTGAGGACAGTGGAGTACAGTTCTCATACAACAAAGAACAGCAGCACTGTATGTAGAGGCTTCTAGGTTAAGCCTGAGAGCAGCATCAGCATGAATACCACAAACAGCAGCTACCGAAACAGTGCCAGCCCGTTCTAAGCACTTACATATAAATCATTACCCTACTTAAGATGGTAACTCTCCCCAGAAGACACTACTATTTCTCCAGTCTACAGAAGACGAAACTGAGGTACAGATGAAATAATGGACCCACGGTCACAGGTAGTAAAAGGCAGAGCCTGAAGGAAAGTGCGGGCTACAGATCACACCTTCTCCTGCCTCACACACAGCCAGGGAAGTCGCACTCAACCATGCCTTCCACCTCAGGCAGCAGTGATGGTTCAAGTTAAAACACAGGAAGTCAAATCGACACAATTACAAAATATGGACAGTCAAGGACGTTTGCGTCGCCCTTCTAAAAAAAAAAAAAATCCAGCACAGTGGGCAGCACTGAAAGGGATGTCGAGATGAAACGGTGTGCATTCTGGGAGCCTGCGTACCAATCCTCCAGCTGAACAGACTGGTTCTCACCACCTAAGCGATGGAAGGAAGGGGCAGACCACCAGGCATAGGGCGAGGAATCCCTGAGGATAAATACGAGGGCAAGTCGAGCCAGGCAGCAAGGATTGGCGCCCATCTCCTAGAGAGCTCAAAAGGCATCACTGACTTACCGGACAACCTTGGGAAAGTCACTTTCCTTCAGTTTCTTTACGTGGGGGCGGGGAGCGTGTGGGAACTGGATGATGGCTCAGTTCCTACAGCCGCTCTGTGTAAGACCCAGTGGGTGTCCGCAATATTTTCTGGAACTGCACAGCTGGGTTCCAGATCCAGCAGAAGCTGTCTCTGGGCCTCGGGCCCGTCGCTTCGCCTCATGGCGCCCTCACTTGCCAATGACAATCGCCAACAATCCCCGCTCTCCCTCCCAGGGGTTCTGTTAGGATTATGGGGACAAAAGACTCCAAAGTGCCGAGGCGCCTAGCAGCGCTCAGTATGGACGCCGGGCATGGCTCGTCTGACCTCGGCGCCGCAGTCAGCTCGGGCCCTCCCTGGCCTCGAGAGACCCTCTCTCTTCCCCGGAAGCACCCGGAGTGGCCTCTGCCCGAGCAGGTGACCTCAACTCGGCGGGTGAGACCTTGGGCAGTTGCCTCCAGGGCCCCGCGTGCGCTGCTGCCTCTCACCGGTGTTCGGCACCTCCCGATACCAGGCGCGGTAGAGCTCGCGCACCCTCCGCTTGGCCTCGTTCATATCCCGACTGAAAATGGGCTTCACGGCTGTGCCGGCCGCAGCAGCACCCTGCCTCAGACCGCTCGCCGCCATCTTGCTAATGACAACTCCGCCCCCTTCTCGCCGCGCGCGTGCACCCCGAACGAATCTCTTTCTGGTTGGCTAAAAGGGGGCACCACGCCCCTGTGCTTCGAGTGGGCGAGACTACAGCTCGGGCTCTCCAATTGGCTGGAAGTGAGGGCCAAAGACAGGCCAGTGAGGACTGCGCATGCTCATCTCCAGGATCGCGGCTCGTCCTCTGGGCGGGTTAACACTCTCGTAACAACCAGAGGCGCCGCCAGGGGGCGCTGTTGCGAGCCCTCAGTCCGCGTTCCGCTGCCCAGGTGTGGCTCGGTTGTCGCCTTCCAGCATTTCCTGGATCTCCGCGGGGCTCGGGCTGCAGCCCCCTAAGGTGACAGCTGAGGAAGACGACGGCGCAGGCTGCAGTGGCGCTGTCCCGGCCTGTCGGCGGCCTTTCTGGAAACCGCGGCACTTACTCACTACAAACCAGCTCTTCGCCAGCGCCCTCCTGGCTTTAGCGTCTCGGCACTGCTCGACCCCGGAGGTGGGTGGAAGGTCGGGATTTTGTCATCCAAACTCTGGATTTCTCTCAAAAGCAGTCGAGCATTGTGAGGCCGGAGGGAGCCTTAGGCCGTCCAGTTGGGTGTTTTCTTGCTGAGGTGAGCGCTGAACCTGAAGGGGACAGTGATAGCTGGCACCACGACAGCCCGTGCCCTGGGTGTTTACATGGACTCGTCTCAGAGGCCGGGCAGGTGCTCCTAGCACCTTCTTTTTTTTTTTTTTTTTTTTTTTTTTTTTTTTT